CGATCCCTACTATATTGAAGTAGTTCTTCGGTTCTTTTCTCGGACGGTTCCCTAATGAAGGTTCTACTGTGTTTGTTGCCAGGTACTTTTGTCCAGTACTCTGTGTGCTTCTCATTGGTCCATGTCCTAATCTGGTTTCGTACCAATGATTTTGGTACCTCCAGAGCTGATTCAGAACCTATATATGAAGTTCATGGCATTCCCAGACCAGTTTTGATGTTACCTTCGGGTTTGTCAGAGCCCCTAATGCGCTCTTGCTGTCTGTACAAATATTGATTCGCTCATTTCTTTGAGGTCTCAATTTAATAGGTCTTGCACACTGCCAGATAGCATACACTTTCTCCTGAAAGACGGATGTGTATAGTCCTAGTGGATAGCTGTAGTTTAGATTTCTATCCGCTCGGTATATTCCAGCTCCCGTTCCGTGTTTGGTCTTCGATCCATCTGTATACCAGGTGTTTTTTCCAAACATGTTTTCGGGATGACTAATGGTCTCAATTTATGGTCTCAATGGTCTCAATCAATTTATATTATATCAGACAATGGAAGTCCGAACACCACGAAACACTGTCAACCACCTTCAAACAAACCAAAAATTGTTGTTTAATAAGATGTGTAAACATTTTCAATTAGTTTTTACCTAAACTCAGGTGTAATATTAGTCGTTGCCTATTGAATTTAAAAAAAAATTAAAATGTTTTTCTGTTAACCAGCTGTCACACTCCTACGAACGACAACCCTCAGAAGTGAAGTCTAAACTAGTGATCTAATCACTGGTATTGGGCTGGAATACGAATGCATTTCTGTACTCAACGGTGTCAAAAGGCAAACCTAAGAAAGTGAAGGCGACGACACCTCCCCTAACGAAGCTTGGCGATGTCGAAGCTTGACCTTGCAAAGGACGTCCCATTGGCAAGCCCCGTTTATCTTTGATATTCGTGTTTTCTGTCGATCCCATACATATTTCCCTTAAACCGTTCGAAAAATTGTGTTCCAACGAAGAGACCTCCATTACACCAGGTCGGTTTTGTAGAGATGGTACAATGTAAATCAAATCAGTAAAGGAACAAATCGTATAGGAAATTCAAAAAAAGCGATACCCCTTTTCTGTCGATGCTGCAATGTCAATACTAGAGACAAAAACACTGTTTATCTTCGTTAGTCATTGATTAGTATATATTTTCGTTTCTGCTATAATATTATTTTCTTCAAAAGAATTGACAAATATTTGTAAATTATCACTTTTTTCCGATTGAAATGAATATGAGCGATACAGAATCAAGTTGAAACATCATTACTATACGCCCCACAATGTGACTTGTGGGCAAAAAGATGGGCAGTGACATCAATTTTCATTATTTCTCACGAAAAAATCAACTCAAAGTTGAAGTGGAAACCAGTTTAAGATAGAGAGGGTATGTAGATGAACGAAAGTATCAAATGAATATGTTGAATATTAGGAGAATAGTCTCAATCAGTTATTTTAAATCGAAAAGAGATAATTTTGGTATGGAAGGACCAAATTCAGGAATCATAAACAAGTTTAAGAATATTAATACAAATCAACGTAAAAAATCGAAAATTAAGTTTCAGAAAATTTAAATTAGTTTTAAAAAATAGGGCTACTTTGTATCATTTCTGCGAAAAAGTAAAAGTTACTTTGAAAATCCACATAATTCGAAAAAATATTCACTCGACACCAACATACAGAAAATATTTGCACTAACTACATAAACACAAATTACTTCTCTTGAATCCTTGAATATTCATCAATGAAAAATTAAATAAAAATAGTTGAACTATATAAATGAACATAGAACCACCATGGCCACCATGGTACTGACATCTAAATTACTACACCGATCCAGTCAATTTTTTGATCTGATTCATATAGCTTGTAGCTCCTTACAAAATATTCAACTAGGTATCTGGCTCTTCTTGGCTAGTGGCCCTTTTAGGTTTGATCCGTATTCTGTGTCAATATGGATGTATCACTATTTATTTAATTCGCTGAACTTAATTGTTCTGTTCTGAGATGAAGAACAGATGAATGACAACAGCCTCTTGTTCAAAACTATTCAGATACATCCATATTTATCGGATCCGTCTAGGACGTAAGAGGTAAGAGTTTGAATTGAAAGGGATATGATATATTTTTCAGGAAAGATTTTCATTGTAAATCGATGGTCATGTAGAATAAAATGTTTCAGAGAGACTTTTCCTTCTATGCGTGAGGTACACATCTTGTACTGAGTTTATTTTGAATTTACTTCAGCAATTTCCCACATTTGTTGTATGAAGATGGAGAAGCAGAAAGCCAAAAAACTTTTTTTTCAAAAGTTGATAGTTACTTCATAAAATATTAAAGTATTAACTATAATTGTGGACATTGAAAATACTTTTTTCACTAATTATGGTATTCTTTTGGATTTCTTCCTGTTATTTTCCATTGGTAATAAACAAATACTTATGAATCATCTCACTTGAGTGGTTTTCATATCCTAACTTTATTATTTCAGAAATTGAAAGGTGAGAGATATAGACTGAGCGTAATAGTCCAGGAGCTGGATCGGGCAACCGCGGTGGACTATCAAACTGCCTTGGTAGCGTTCATCAATTGTCTGATCATATCGACTTCCAGGCTGAACGACAGGACTAGATTGAGGAATGAATTCATAGGTAAGACTCTAGCGTACCTTCGTATAATTTTACTAATAGTATATCCAGTGAACTCAAACCAAAGTCCTTGTATTACCGAAATGACGTTTCTCTCGACTACTGTGGAGCTGTTCCAGGTCATTTTAACTTGCGCTCTCGTTAAACTAAATACTACCTGTGCTGAAAAGTATCGGGCCTAACACATAGATGGCGCTAGTCTTATTACATTTACCGCTTTTTCAGTCAGTACTAACCTTCAAAAGAAAATTGTTGAAATTTCATGATATTCCACTCATAAGTTTGTGAGTGATTGTGCTTTTGTTATTTTCAAAACAATGGATCAAAAACAATTTCGTTTTTTAATTTAACACTGCTTCTTAATGGAAAAAAATACCGTTCAACGAAGCGATGGCTTGAAAAGTATTATAAGGACTCCGCTCCATCAGAAACAACAATCAAACGTTAGTTTGCTGACTTCAGATGTGGTCGTAGAGACATCGATGCTGCAGAACGCAGTGGACGTCCAAATGAAGCAGTAACACCAGGAAACATAAAAAACCCGTAATCGTTTTGAATTATCGAAGTTGTGTGACTTAGTTGACATTGAAAAGATATCAAAAGAACGTTTTGACTATGAGAAGTTCTCATCAAAGTGAGTGCCGCTCGAGCTCACTGTTGACCAAAAACAAGAAGGTTTGACCATGTTTAAACATAACAAACCAGAATTTTTGCATCGATATGTGGCAATGGATGAAACATGAATCCATCACTTTCTTCTGGAATCGAAACAATCGTCATCTGAGTGGAGAGCACCTGGTGAACCTCGTCCAAGCGCCGAAAGCACAACAATCGGCTGGAAAGGTTATTAATCCAGCCAGCTTATGTTTTTGAAAATTGGTTCCAACTAGTATTTTGAACTGCTGAACACGAATCTGAGGTTTGCCAACCAAAACTTTTCACGGGAAATATGTTTTTTTTTGCAAAAATTATGAAAAAAATCGACTTAGTTTTGGTTTTTTGTGAATAACTCGAAAACTACGCAATTGGTGTAAAAATGTCACCTATATGAAAAGATAGAGAATAAAATTTTCTACATTTTATGTTCATTAAGTTTTTTTCTACGGTCAAACGTTAAGCCACGGGAGAACGCTAAAATTCCAAAAATCAGGATTTTTGGCGATTTGAATTTGTAAATTTGAAGTTGTAAAACGATAATTTTTTTTTGAAATGTCAAGTACTAAAAGGTCTACCTTGGGACAAAATTTGAAATGTTTATTGAAGTTTCAGGGCATACTACGATATTTTTTCTTAGTCGAAAATCGGGATTTTTTATAATCATTGGTTTACAAGAATAATCTACATAATCATGTCGTGATCAGTGCATTTCTTTCCTTTCAATGAACCCACCAAAATTGAAATCGTATAATTATTGTGTTCTTGTGATTCATCGGCATAACCTTGTCAGGACGAAGAGATCGAAAGTGTCAAGGCCGCACGAAATCTGCTGTAAATGTACCGATAATTTTAACGAAAGAATTCGCCATGTAATCATAACAGACAAACCCAGATATGTCAAGAAAGCCGTATTCGTTGACTTGGAATATGATTGATGTATTAATATATCATTGTTTTTATATTTGAAAAGGTTACTCTGCGATATGCTGTTGAAATTTCAACGATCAATATCTAGCCAATAACTTTTTACATATTGCGAAGGTAATGATTGAGCAAAGACGTTTGTGGAGGGAGAGAAAAAATATTTCGAAAGATATTTTCTATATAGAACGGTTCATCTGAAGTATCAGGGAGTCACAAATCAATGAAAAGATGGTAAAATTGCATGAAATGGGCTTCAAATTGCTCCTGCATTTACCATAACCGCCAGATTTGGCTCCTAGCGACTACTGGCTCTTCGCAGACCCCAAAAAAATGCCCACCTATAAGAAATTTCGCTCGAATGAAGAAACTGCTGAAACTGAGGCCTATGTTGAGGCAACAGATAAATCGTACCACAAAAGTGAGATTGAAATGTTAGTGTGGCTATTGAAGGAAATTACGTTGATGAATAAAGCCAATTCTGAACAATAAAAACACGTTTTTTTCTTAGGAAATCACACTGAACGTCTATGATATATCAAGTCCTTCGAATATTGAGATTCGTCTTTTTCCGGTGTCGATGGTCTACACGTTGCCTTGGATACTGACGACCTGCATTTTCGAGTATTAGCGAACTATTACTTCTTATGGGTATTATCATAATATTCAATAACCTTGGAAAGTGGACGTTTCTTATCATTCCATTGAGGTTCTTTTTTCTAGGAGCATCTTGCTCTTCTACATTTGATGGTCCATAATAGGTTTCCAACAATTCATCTGTAGATGTACTAGTTTTTCTCAGTACACAAGATTTACTTAACCGAAATATGCTACAAATGATATGTTGATTTTTCTTCGAACTTTAGTTCTATAGATGAGGTTACCCTTCTTTTTTTTTCAGTCTTTCGAAATAATCGAATTTTAGCGCAGCTATCAAGCCAGGTTCACGGTAACATTTCCGGTTTTAGTACTAACTAACTGCATCTTTGTGTACCAAATTCTTTTGGATTTGGATAGGCAAACTGAATAATTTTTTGATATATTCCCCATACTGCCGCCAGACTTCTGTTCCCGAGTAATTATATTATTAATTTTAGTAGAACGTTTTGTGAGCCAATTAAGTAATTATACAAGCATGGTATTGTGCGCCTTTGTCAATTCAAGCTCCGCGACAAGATTTAGAATTTTTCAAAAATGTATTGGAATATAAAACGATCAGTAAGAAAATTTCAGAAGCAGTGTCAAAAAAATTCAGCACTCATCTATGGTGTTTGTCTGAAAAAGTTATTTGTTTATCACTTTTCGATGGCTATGTAAGCTCAGAAATTAAAATTGAAATTATCAAACCAATGAATCTAAAAGCTAGCGAAGCTACAAATTTAAAACGTGTTACCTCATATCAAAAAACTCAAGATTGATTCCTTCATGATTGAAAATTATACGGGATTTTAACTTATAATGACGAACAGAAACAATGCATATTGCAAGTTGTAGCAATACTTAGAAAGCAATTTCCGAACGCTAACAAGCAAACATTATTGTTACCACCAACTCAGAAATAACAGAAAAAACATTAATTTCAGTAATTCTAACGATTAGACGAATAGAAATTATAGTCTATAAATAACAACTTTATAACTTCACAGCGTCTATTGTAAATTATGTATAAATGATATAAATGTAGCAAATTCAATTCTCTAAAAAAATCTACACCCTCATTTTTTCTAAAGATTAACTTTTAATACCAAAAAATCGAATTGAAACCGAAAAAAAAAATCCCTGTTATTTATATGTGGAATCGATTTTTCGAATGAGCGAAGCCTCTAATTGGCTTCATTATGGGTTTTCATTGATGAATTAACATTTTTGAATAGATTTTTCAGTTTTATTTATTATTTTCATTATCGGATATATCAGTCATTATTGCGGTTGATTGTTAGACCGAGACAATAGGCTTATGGTATGAGAAATAAGATACATAATATATGTTTTCGCATGAAAATTAGAAAGGTATCTAGAGAAAATTGAATCGATTATTGTTCCATGTCTTGTGGTAAGCTCGTTTATTATTCATTTGTAGTTCTAATTTATCTTTTAGAAAATTTACCAAAGGTTGCCTATCTTCGGACGCGAAATTAACATTGAAATCTCTTGCTGAAATTAGAGTGGCAACGTATGACAGTTCTCTACTAATTCTTTAAAGCCTATTCGAACGTAAATTTATGCTCACACCTCTCTCTTTCTCTGTCTTGACCCTACAGTAATATACGAAACGTAGTTATCTCTCTTTCAATCTTCAGTAACTTAGAGGAAGATCAAGACTCTTCCTCTTGAAGATGATCACTTGGTGATCGAAACACGTATCGAGGTTTCAAAATAACGGTTTGGTGTTGGGAAAAATCTCCAGTAATTTTCATTACTATACCAAAGGTTTCAAACAGGGCATCACAAGTAATAAATCAGTATTTATGCATAATTTTTACACAATTTTGTAACAAATGAAAGCAAACTTTTTCTCAGCACTTGCAGATACTATAGAATAATTGAGTTATCAGTTTCCTACTGAATATATTCACGTCAAGCGTATTTTATTAATTAATTAATGAGCTGAAAAACCGCATTGGTTATTGTGAATGCTGACACGCTTATACCAGAAAGAGATGTTTGGTTAAACTTTAAGCAAAAAATGTTTGTTTGGAAGAAACAAATGAATATGTTTTAGTAAAAATAATGAATAGAGGGGATTTATTGAGACATGCAATGTGGTCTGTTTGGAGCAGGTAGTTTGAGATGTTTAATATTTCATGATCTCACGTTTATTAATTTCTCATATCGTTATGATGAAACCAATTGTGAATTTAGGTGAACAAAGATTACAGATCGTAATCGCTCACAAATGCAGTTGACGGGCAGGTTTTATTGTTTGTATTGAACCATACCAATTGCATAATTGAGTAGGTAATTCGAACATATTTTTCGTGTCTACACGATTTCAACTTGACATACAAACAGGAATAATCAATAAAAAGGAAAAGTTCATTTAGTAAAACACGACGCAAGAATGCCGGGTTCTTTAACGACCGTATATTCATCAGCATTCTAATGGAGACTCGTTGATAATATGACGCGAATATTAAATTGTTTCTCACTTGCAGTCATCGAATGTTGATGTGAGGCAATTAATGATCTTAAAGGAAATAAACTGCACTGCGTTATTTATAGGAAATGAGTTGGTATCTATTTGTGCTTTGTTGAAGTTTGAAATTCCTCTGCAGTGTTGTGTCATCTATTACGAATTTAATTGTTTTCATTTAACTCATTTTTAGCTGATGCTATCCTATACTATCGACTTGAGCGGAAGGTTTTTTAACGATCGGTACCTAATACTGGCCATACATAGATTGAAACGATGTGGTTCAAATCAACTTTTTTGTTTACCATCTCACTTTTACTACACACAACATCAAAAGTCTTGGACCACCTACCACCAACTTGTTGTATGTTTATTGCGTGTTTGTTGCTATTAGGTAAAAAAGTTGAACTATTTGGTAAACAAACAGGACAAAAAATATTGGAGGATAACATATTGTCGATTTGCCATGAATGTTTTTGTAATATTGGACAGTTCCACTGAATATTTTCACTGTATATTGATACTTTTCTTCCAAAATAATGCCAGGGCGCGAAATTTCTGCTGTTGAGAGGACAAGAATTGTCATGCTGCTGGTCATTCAATCACCATTTACATAGGATGTTAAACATCTAAGATCTTCTAATGTGTAAATAGTTCATAGGTATGTGGAATTTGGAACAGTGGAAAGAAGACCACGCAGTGGACGACCTCAAGGAACACATGAAGGAGAGGATCGGTATTTGGTTTAATATACCCGTAGACATCGAAGTGCTTCAGATTCAGCCTTCGGGCCCACTTTTAAGGTACAGTTGAACTAGAATTGGACTGCAGAGTGATGACCATAGGCGAAGGGTCTAGAGAAAGCCAGGTCGTCAACAAAGACTAAATTTTTTTCGAGAGGTTGCTCCCTATCAAGGAGAGACAGTAATGTTTTGGGAGCATTGTGTTAAGTCGCCGAACGTTTTTATACGTGATAACCAGACATTTCGAGTTTAAATTGAAAATTTTATCAAAGCAAATGTTTGTCCATTACGAAACGAATTAGGTGAGAAGTTCATCGTCATGGACGACAACGCCCAGCCATATAGAGCAAGAATGGTTCAAGAGGTACTGGAACAAGAAAAGATCAATCGCTTCATTATTTCAATGCGCAGTCATGTCAATATGTTACTGAGGGCACACTGACTATTATTTGATGTTTAGTCAGGATAAACAAATGTTTTGTAAGTTTATGTTTTGAAGAATATGATGGAATCGGCCTATACTTGATGAACATCTATAACATATTCAAGAAACACTATATTATGAGATTTTCACTAAACAATTTTACAAAAACACAACACGTGTTTTGCCATTCAATAGCTTCTCCAGGCGAGTAATTCATGTTATGAATTGATTCATTTCTTCTTATGTTGATTTTACCATCGTTTAAATTCCTCAGAAGTGTATTTTTCAGAAAAATACATTCATAGTTTATCATAATTCAATAACAATTTGTTATTATATTTCAAAATAAAATAAATTTCAAAATAACTGTCGGATCCCAGACTTCTGATGTTTTCATGTAGTTGATCAGTGACTACTGGGTCAGTTCGTGGGTTGTGTTATTTCACCCAATTATTAGAGGTACCACAAACAAAGCATCCCATAACCCGAAGAATCCGTTCCGCATGCAATAATTTTGACGAAATGTTATTAAAGCCACTTGCAGGTTGAAAGCAAGAAAAATATTTCGAACATGAATGAAGTGAATTTTAAATTACATACTGTTACGTTTTTCCCCGTGGATTGACCAATAATTGACTAGACTAAATAATCAAACTTACCTTTATTTCTCTTTAAATACAATAAACACTTCAACTTAAACTTCAACTATTATTCGAATGTCTATCGCCTTCTAGATCGCTTCGCGTACCGCACTGTAGCTTCCACTTGACTGTGTCGATATGGCTAGCGTTTATATATCGTAATCGAATGCAGTAAAAATTTCGCCGAAGTTCCATCGACATCGGTAGCATTCTTCTCGCTACTTCTAGAGCGGCAGGAAACATTCGCGCGCTCTTAGCTACATCACAATTGGTTTATGGCTACCAGTGGCGGCTGGTGTTATTTTTTTTTTAGGACATGATTTACAACAATACATATAATCCACTCACATTATTTGTGTCCAATAACATTTCAAGGTTTAAGACGAAATATCTACATATTATTTCAATTATTTGAGACATTCAAGTACTCAATTACTTATGAATTGTAATTTATTTTAAAGTTGGATATCTGTACACTGTACATGTATGAGCTTTTTCAGGTCCGCATTCTCAGTAAAATCATTCAGTTTCGTTCTTATGAACACGAAGTATCTCATAATATAAACGCAAAGTACTGTTAGTAACTCATTTTCCATAAAGTATTTTTTGTACAAGTCAGTACGCTTGATTCCAAATATTAGATGGGACACTCTTTTTTATGATATTAGTTACTGTTGAGAATAGTTCTGAGATGACCCTATGTACAGGGTGTTCCATTTGTGAAAACTGTGAAAAAAGTGATCCCGAGTTTTTTTTACCTATATTTTTGAGAAACACTCTGCCCAAAAGATTCAATCGAGTGTAAATATCTGGAGTATTCTACTTGAAAGAAACTTAAGTTTGGTCTGTCACACATTTATTGGACACCCGGTATAATCGTAATAATCATCGAAACAGTAGAAGTAGCGTCGTTATTGCGAGACAGACAGACTAGACATAGGCAGACAGACTAGACTAGGTAATACAAAAAAGTTTTTGGGGAGTTGAACACGGGACGTTTGGTATGGTAGCCTTTGAGTATAATCTCGTCGCTAGCGAGGGATATTGAAAGTGAATGCGAATAGTTGGTAGATATGTGTTGCGGGTCTAATATTTTTTCGTGGGATCCAACATGCCAGATGGGCAACATTATTTGTCATTGATGAATGTGTCAAATACAACAAAGGAAAAAAAAAAACAAAAATTGCGACATTTCCGTTAATAATAGTCGCATCGTCACGTACAGCACGTCAAATGAAAGAGGAAGAAATGCAGAATTCATTGACAAAGAAAAATCAAAGAAGGCGGTTAGAAGGGACTAAGCCATATCTTCGTTAATAATAGTCATTTCATTTTTTTGTAATTCTATTAGGGAAGCAGCTATCGTCCATCCACCCATCGTTGATACACCTTATGTATATAAATATGTATATTATTCGAATCTTATAAATGGTGATGGTTATGATTATTTTTATCAGAAGTAGTTTATGAATCTTGATCTGGTTATGCTTACATCGGCTACCTATAATACAACTGGCNGTTGCAAAATATGATTTTTCCTAAAATATGGAAGACCAGAAAAATCAGCAGTCGCCCATCATATTTTGCAAAAAAACCATTCCATAGACTTTAGTTCATTAAGATTAGTTGGACAAGTTAACAACAACAGGCATCTAGATGCATATGAGAGTGTAGAAATAAGTGAACATAATAATATTATCAATAACCGTGTTAGGAATCACACGTTAAAAGGTAAGACCCCGTTAGTCCTTAGCTCGCACAAGTTACTCAACTTCTGAGAGTTATCGTTCGTATGGGGGCGACAGCTGGTTAACGGAAAAACAGATTTCAATAGACAGACAGATTTTAATAACGATGGTGGACCAATACCTAATGGTATACTATATAGCTTGGTGAAATAATATTTTAATTATCAGATTTACCTGACTGGTACATAAGAACACATCGTAAAATTAATGTAAGACTATTAGACAAGGCAATATTGTGGAATTAATTTAAGATATATTTCATTAGTTCAGACTTCCATTGTCTAATATTATATAAATTGATTTGAAATCCCTGAAAGAATCTGTAAAAAATTAATTTGAGATACCTAGGACACAGGTACCTAGAGGAGGTAATTATTGTAAGTATATTTAGTTTAATCTTCCTCTTGAAGATGGTCACTTGGTGATCGAAACACGTGTCGAGGTGATAAAATAACGGTTTGGTGTTGGGAAAAACTCCAGTGATATTCATGACCCTGTATATTGAATACATTTCAGGAAATGTGCAGAGGCGGAACCAGAATTAGCTGTACAATTGGACGTATTCGACGAGCAACGAGAAAGTGACGATACGCAAAACCTTCAAGGACCTCATGGAGTAGATCTCAACTCACCTTTAGATGTATTTTACGCAATACTCAAACAGGTAATGTCATACTCTAACATTTTGGAATATTTTTGTAAGATATCTCATTGATGTGGGACAGTTACAGTAGTAAAAATAGTGATACATGAAAATGATAATTAATTTCCCAAGAGACAAACAATATGTATACTAAGCGAATAAAACAATATACAGTGTCATCCTCAAAGTATGCATCATATGGGAAACTTATTTATTAAGGGTTTTTCGACTAAAAGTTATTCTTGATAAAATGTTGTGCATCCTCTAAAATTGAACATGCACAAACAAAATACAGTACAACACACGTAATATACGACGAGCCTTCAAATATTTGATTTTGTGACAAGATTAAAGTACCCTTATTTTGACTCGGGAAATGTTATTTAGAAAAATTGTTTAGCATTGAAAAATACATCTAGATTTGAAGTCATAGCCATCTAAGTGGAGTTTTATTTTTTTACCCATTTTTTTAAATGGGGACTACGAATTTGTTTTTCGTAGTCCCACATCATTTAAATGTACAGTACATATATACATAAATACAAATATACATATATACAGAGCTATTCAAATTCGTTTATGTACATGGGGATCTCATAAACGATAAGAGATAGAGTGTCGGTTAAATTATGACAAATTTGCGTATTTTAGAGACCTATTCAATGATGTGAAGAAATCGAATATGGCTCTTTTGGTTCTGGAGATATACAGGAAAAACCAAAAAAATCCCAAATTATTTTTTGCCTATATCTTCTTTATTCGCAGGCATATTGAAAATCTGTCCACATTTTGCTATTGGCACTTGATGTGGGCTCTCAGAATATATCCATGAGTCTTTTATACAGGGTGTCATCTGACTGGGGCCACCCCTATATTTGAATTCTCAAATACGGACCTGTATTTTTTGTAATATTCGATTATGATTTTGTGATTTATTCCCTTTTGAATTACGGCCCTGGAAATTGGTTGACTGAGTTGAATAAAAACATAATGGCAACTTTATAACTATAAATTATTT